CTTTAGAATTCGCCTGAGATTACACTGGAAGTATTGCAGCTGCCTGCTGACCTTGTTGTGCTCTGCTGTGGCTCTCACTAGCAGGTGTGCACGGGAACAGCTAAGGCGACACAGTTACACGCATGTGCTGCACAAAGGTATCTGCAATGTGCTTGTGTCTTACTGCTTCAATATCTCCCAACATGTGCGATTCTCGGCGTGCCTTCGCACGCCCACAGGCAGCACCCAAATGGCGCTGCCAACACCACTGATCAATGTCACTCTCCAATAACATAACACACGTGAACAACATCACCAAAACATCATCAGATGATCGCTGATGGACTTCACTAAATCATTCCAGGAACCCCGAAGAACATCACTGTGCAGCACTGAATGCTGCACCATGCCGAACCACTCTGGGCTGTAGTACAATACTAGACTAGTCAAAGCAGTACATCACAACCAAGCTAGGGCTGCTAGCTGTTGCTAGCCCCAATCGGACAAGGAGCCAATCGGTCCTGTCAGATGATGATGATGATGATGATGATGATGATGATGATGATGATGATGATGATGATGATGATGATGATGATGATGATGATGATGATGATGATGATGATGATGATGATGATGACGATGATGATGATGATGATGATGATGATGATGATGATGATGATGATGATGATGATGATGATGATGATGATGATGATGATGATGATGATGATGATGATGATGATGATGATGATGATGATGATGATGATGATGATGACGATGATGATGATGATGATGATGATGATGATGATGATGATGATGATGATGACGATGCATCAACCCATCAACCAGGGCAAAAAATGGGCACGCAGACCAGCTGTGCTGACTTCCACGCTAGGAAGCCCACAGAAAGCAAAGGCCTAAGGCTGACGATATAGATCGTGCTCCAACGCCCACAAGTAGCTACTGCCCCATGCACCCACGAGGCCGGCCTGAAAGGTACATAGTGCACTACCACGTGGTCAAGAGCCACGTCTCCAGTGCTACCGCCCCAGCCGGCACTAAGTTTTTGCTTGCACCGACTGAGTGAAGGCCACCATGCTGCAAACCAGCACTGGTTTACAACAGAGCCTTACCACGTGATGCATCAAGACATGCTGCTGAGGGATCCTTGCCACGTAACTGCATTACCCAACACAGTCAGGGGCTTCATAAAACAAAGGTCCCCGAAGGATGTCTGATGTACGCCAGATCTGCTCTAGAGCCGCTGCCCAACAGCCCTCAGCTGCACTGCTGCTCCAGCCCTAACGCCAGCACTCCAGCTTCACCGAAATATCGCGTAAAGCTCTGACGTGAGGCCTCACGTAACTGGAGGATGACCGTAGCCAAACAGGGGAGAAGCTCCGCAAGCACCAGCACCCTCATCCGCGCGGGTGACGACGCCCAGACCTTGGTGCATGACGTGAAGGGTATCTGATTAGCCTTGACGAAAATATATGTGTAACCAAGCGAGTCGACCCGCAGCCCCGAACCAGGTACGGGCCCATCCGCTGCTGACACAGACCTAGCTAGGTCGCTATAGCGAGCAACCAGCCAACCTCTTATTTAAATCGGCTGACAGGCTGCTGCCCAGGAAAGCAGCAGCCAGGAAGAGGCCGACCATGGCGACACACTAGGACTAAGTAAGCATAGAGCCTCCTCAGAACCCTGCAGCAGCTGCACCCACCCTCCACCCTTGTGGTGTCGCGTGCTAAAGGTCTCTAGATGCGTTGTCAGGGCCACCAGCCCTCATGACGTGACAACTCTCCTGGTTCTCCTCAGCTACCAATTGTGGTGTCGCGTGCAGCTAAAGGTCTCTAGATGCGTTGTCAGGGCCACCAGCCCTTATGACGTGACAACCCTGGTGAGCCACGGCTCCTGACATAAACGCCTTGTAAGGCTTATTTATGTCAAATACTCCTGGGACTCCCTGGAAGACGCCTTGTCGCTGTTGGTGCCGCATGCGTTTATGACCAGGTTGGACATTAGCGCGTATTATCGTCATTTTCTGGTGCACCCCACGCACTGGTGCGCGCAGGGGTTCGAGTTTGGTGGCCAGTGCTACGTCGACACTCGCCTTCAGTTTGGTTGGCGCTTAGCTCCTGAGCTCGCGCATAGCTTTACCATGTTCATCAAGCGTGTGTTGCATGCTAATGATGTGGTTGGTGTGGTCGGCGTCATGGATGATTACTTGCTGGTGCATTGTGGCTTCCGTGCCTGCTTGATTATGCTTGCAGTGGCAGTTGCCCTGCTGCAAGATCTCGGTTTTTCTGTCAACATGAAGCCAGGCAAAACTATGCCCCCGGCTCGTGTGCAGAAGTTTTTTGATGTGGTTATCAACTCTGCCAGGTACACGCTGTCGCTGCCCGCTGAGAAGTTGTCCTCGCTGTTGCAGGATGTGTCTGCTGTACTGCAGCGGCGGTCTGTGCGCCGCCGCAAGCTACACAGTCTTGTTGGCAAGATGCAGTGGGCCAGTCGTGTGGTGTATGGTGTTCGGGTCTTTACGCGGTGTTGCAGCGATGCCTTGTCGCATGTGCTGCACCCTGGCCATCACGTGTCGGTTTCGTCTCACATGCGTGATGACCTTCGGTGGTGGCTGCAGAGTGCCGCCGCCAACAATGGTGTGGTGTCGTTGGCGCCGTTGCGGGTGACGCATTATGTGTTCCTGGAAGCGTGCATTGGGGGTGTTTTCTGCTGGCGCATTCTTATCTTTGGATGCCGACCAGCTGCAGCCTGTCCCCAATGCCCTGCATTGGGGTGTTTTCTACTGGCGCATTCTTATCTTTGGATGCCGACCGGCTGCAGGCTATGGGGTTCGACCCCCCCGCTGACCGTGCCAACATCAACCTGTGGGAGTGTTTTGAGGTGTTGGTTGCGGTGATGTGCTTTGGTGACTGCTGGCAGCGTTCACGCGTGATGGTCTTTAGTGACAACGCTGCTACTGTGTCCTGGGTCAGCAAAGGGGCGCCCCGGCCTCTTGCTGCTCGCGTTTTATTTCGCCGCTTGTTTGACCAGTGCCTGCGTTCACAAGTGCGTGTGTGCATTTCACATGTCGCTGGGGTGCAGAATGTGCTTGCTGCCACCCTATCTCGCCGTCAGTGGCGCTGCTGCTGCTGCTGCTTTGAGAATTGACTCACCCCTCCTGTGTGATGTCCTTCCCTCCCGCCCACCCCTGCTGGCGTCACCATGACTCCAACCAATTGTGAGCTGCAGGCGGAGGTGGTGACCCTACAGGCAGGCGCCCTGGCCGACTCTACTAAGCAAAAGTATGAGTACTACGAGCTGTGGTGGGTGCCCTTCTTGATGGTGTTCAACTTGCTGGCGTTTGTGGCGGCTGCCACGGAGGCTGTGGTTGGTTTGTTTGTGGCCTTCCTGGCGCGCACCAACAGCTACGGCTCTGTGAAAAACTGCCTCCAAGGCTTGCAGCGGTTGTTGCTCGAGCGGGGCTGGTCTGGTCATTTCTCTCGGTTTTGGGGCCTGCAGCAGTGTCTGGCAGGTCTGCGTCGGGCTTATAAGGCAGTGCAGCGTAAGCTGCCCATCACCCCCTTCATTCTGCTGCGGGTGATGTCTGTGTTGAGCTGGGCCTCTCAAGTTGAGTTCATGGTGTAACCGCGATGCTGGTGGCCTTTGGCGCCTTCCTGCGCAAGGCTAACGTGTGTGCTGCTTCCCGCAGCTTGTCCCATGTGCAGCGGTTGCTGCTGCGCCGCGACGTGGTGGTTAATCGCGCGCAATACTGCTTGTTTGTCACGCTGCGGTTGATTGAGGAGAGTTACATGGGTGTGCACGTCGGAAACGGAACACTTCGAGGACTGCAGCGCGCAGGACACGAGAATAAACCACAAAAAGCCTCAGAGAAGCAATTTGCAGCTTCCTCACCCAAAATAACACAAATTCTGCGCAGAGAAAAAGCATCAGGACGGAACACAAGGTGTCAACGTCAGCGAAACAGGAATGGAACATGCAGACATGGCAAAAACTAGCAGGTACTGGGCACCTCGGTGCTCCTGCTTCAGGTGTTGAAGACATTGTACAATATGATGATCAACATGATCAAAACTCTCTGCTACTAGGACGCGCACAAAGCAACAGCATAACCCGCAGCGCCATGGCACCACAGGTACCTGTCACCCTATTGATGTGTCTGGCAAGGCCACACCCCAGGCGATGGCACCGGCCCAACACACCTACTGGCTGACACAGGCTGCATGAGAGTACTAACAGCACAAGACATGCAACCACATGTAGCAAAACGGATACAAGAGCAGTGGATGCAAGAAATAACCCAATTTCATGCTATGACGCAGAGGCCAAGTCCCCTCTTGGTGCTAGCTGCATCCGGCCGTCAACCACGCGTAAAAAGGGGTGATCAGCTGGCACAATATCCAGCTAGGTCAAGGGTGCCGCCTTGATGACTATGAAGTCAACCAGCAGCTCCCAAAACCTAGCCACCGCCGCCTTCTTCTTCGTCTGCATTAGCTCATCAAGCTCTTGCTGTCGCTGCTGCTGAAGCTGTAGCTGCTGCTGCTCTCTGTGCTGCCTCACTGCCTCATTATGAGCCAGTTGCGCAGCTGAGGGAGTAGCAGGCTGCAACAACTGAGTGATAAGCTGCTGGTCAGCAGGTGGCGCCCGGGCAGGGCCACCTGCTGGACTGGCAACCAGGTCATGCTGCCAGTTCAGCACATGCTGTAGGTTGGCTGCCCTCCTGCCAACATCCATAGCATTGAAGGCCGCCAAACACACGACACGCCACGCGCATGTGAGCACACTCCGCCCACCACGCGGCGGTTGCATGAGCCAAGTATGCTGCATACTTAAAGCTGAGGATCCAGGCGTGCGAGTGCACCATGCTGTAGGCAAATTCTCCACTATGGACTGTACCACCGCTTGCGCAACAGGGCTGCGGTTCATGAAGAACTCGCAGTACCAGGAGTCTATCCACAAGGTGGTCATTGCTGGTCGTCGCGGCCACCCCCTGGACCCTGTGTGGTGGTGGGTAGTTTAGTGGTAAAACACCGGCATCGCACGCTGGAGACCCAGGTTCGAATCCTGGTCCAACCGCCCGTGGCTGGGCATTAAAAGCAACTGGAATTGACGGACTTGCGCGGGTGGTTTCGATCGCCCAAACAACGAAGGAAAGACTGGGTACAACTACGATCACCTCATGAGCGGAGTAGCGGCGTTTGGTGGTGCTCGTATGTTGAGAGCTGGTGCTGGCTCCTCCCAAGGCAGCGGCGTTTGGTTACATGTCTGGTGGTGTGTATGTGCCTCTGGTGCACACTGAGTTTGTGCGTTGGGTGAAGCAGCTGCTGTCGCGTGCAAGCTTCAACAGCAGCAAGTATGCTGGGTACAGCTTCCGCAGCGGTGCGGCCTCCTTTTCGTTTCTGGTCGGCCTGCCCAGCTTCCTGATCCAGGAGCTGGGTGCTTGGCGCAGCCAGGTGTACCAGGTTTACCTGGACCTGTCGCTGTCGCAAAAGCTGTCGGTGCATTCCGCGTGGTTCGATGCCATGGCGGCTGGCCAGCTGGGCTCGGAGCTGGTCCCCCCGTCATGAGCGTGTGTGGGTGTTTGGGGCAATTAGGTGTTGTGAGGGGTCTAGTCGGCCGGCAGGCTTGCGTGCAGCTGTTAAGATTGTCTGCTGCTCAGCCCCGCTTGGCAGAGCAGCATCTGTGCCTTCAGCTAGCACTTAGCCTGTTGGTGCATGCGTCATAGTTGCACTAAACGTTTCAGTTGAAACAAAACTTCTCGTTTCTAAACGCGTTTTTAAACGCCAGTGCCTTGGCAGTACTGCTCCAGCCTTGATCATGCATTGACGATGCGTAGCACGACAGCTCTTCACAAAAGCAAGTTTAATCAAGATGCAGTGCGGGGTTTACTGATTACATGTATCGTGTGAGTGCGTTGCTGGTCACGGACCACGTGCCTCGAGGCAGCACTGCAGAGCGACTTGAGGGCTGCACGGTGTTACAGGGCTGAACGTCACATCAAACATCACGCGAAGAATATCACAGTGAAGCACTTCTGATAACATCAGTAAGGCAGCAGCTGAGTCTCCTGACAAGAAAGCAGTGACCACTGGTTACACACACAAGCAACTAACTGTGTAGGGAGTTGCAGAGCACATACATTGACTGTCACCATTCACAAGATTTGCAACTGCTCATAGCACCTGACTTCTCTCCCATGCATCCACACCGATGCATTTAAACCAATGCAAGCAGCAAGTAGCACCAACAACACCAGCAACCCAGCTGGTTGCATGACTAATGTTGCTGTTGCATTGCTGTAGATACAAACACCTGCACACGCAGCACTGTTAACACATGCATAATAACAGCTGCTTCATTCCACAATCTCAAACCCCTCTTCCTCGTCTTCATCAGCATCACTACCAGCAGCAGCATCTTCCTCCTGCTCATCCTCGCTGTCCCATGGCACAAACTCTTGGTGGGTGCCACAGTTGAGCTTGCGCAGCAGGCGCTGGTTGCTGAACACGTACACCAGGTCCCGTGCGCGTGCAGGTGCCAGCTTGTTGCACTTCTTGCTGTGGATGTAGTCATATGTTGACCAGTTCCGCTCGCATGACACAGCAGCGCTGACCTGGCTCAGCACCACAAGTGCCACCCGCTGCAGCTCCTTGCAGCCACTGCCATACATGGCCCACCACTGGTGTGCTGGCATGGACGGGGCGTCCTCTACAGCAGCACCATGCACAGCAAACAGCTCCTCTCTGTCTTTGTACATGACAAACTGCTCGCGTGCAGCCTTGCGCTCAGCTGATGTTGGCAGCAGCCGCTCAATCATGGTGATCAGGTTGCCCATGCACTCTGCGTTCTTGCCGGCATCACCCCAGAACTCTGGATCCAGGCAATAGCCAGCACCGTGCATAGGGCTGTGCAGGTACTCCCAGCGGTTGCTGATGATGTCTGCAATCTCCTCCAACACATCTGCATCCAGCTTGTGCTTCCCAGAGCGCACATGCTCCAGGCACTTGCTCATCCTGTAGCAGATCTTGCCCATGCAGGGTGCAGTGCCATCTGCCAGGCGCAGCAGGCTCACCAGCGGCTCCACCACGTCCATAGCCTGCACTAGAGGAAGGCGGCGGTAGCAACAGCAGTGGCAGCAAGCGCCAGCACAGGCGGTGTGAGAGGAATAAAATAGGAAGCAAATGCAGACAATCTGGGTGTCTCAATGTTGCTGGCAACCATGCAACAAGCACGCATGCATGGTGTAGGCTCCTACTGCTCCTGTCGCAAAAAGCAGGTACTGCATGCAAGTGTGTGCACCAACCTAACATCGGCAGCCTGTGCACAGCCCAGCACCAGGATCAACTGCTTGCTATGCACACAAAATAGAGAAAAAAATGATAGAAATTAAAATAACAATAAACAATGGTCTTTTGCCCCTTTTTTAGAATTTTTTTATTTTATTTTTTGATTTAAAAAAAAAGAAAAAAAAAAGAAAAAAAAAACAAAAACAATTCTGCAGACCTTTAATTCTTGTTGCTCTCTATCAAAAAAATGTCTTTATTTATTTATTTGTTTAGCAAAAAACAAACAAACATGGAAATGTCAAAAAAACATTTTTTATTTATTCCGATGAATTTTTTGACTTATTTGTTTAAGGGTACTATAAACAATTTTCCCCAAAGAGCATGGCAAACAGCAACACACCTCCTTGGCCTCCGTCCAGAAGTTGTCATCCAAGATGACCAACTTGATTTCAGCTGCCTTGACCCTGTCCTCAGCAGTCAGGCGTGCCACAGAAGACTGCCAGCCCTCGCTGACCACCACGCGCTGCAGGTGCGACGACTGCTTGTGCACACGCTGCAGCATGATGAAGGAGGTGGCAAAGCGGGTCTCTCCAGGCTTCAGCAGCGCCAGCACAGACTCCTCCAGTGCGCGGTATGCTGCTAGGGTCTGCTGGTGGTTGTTGATGAACATCTCCACGCACTTGGCCTTGCTGATCAATTCATCAAAGGGCTCCAGCTTGAAGATGTCCTCCAGGGTCAGGTCAACGGCGTGTGGAGTGCAGATGGTCCAGGTGATGTGCGGGTACCTGGCAAGCAGCGGCATGGCAGATCAGCAGCAACATATACACGCAGGTGTGAGTTGGCAGCAGCAAGGTGTGCAAGCACAGGAGATGGTTGATGAAGATGTTGTGCAAGCAGGCAGGTAGGCAGGTGTCATGTAGACAACAAGCAGCAAGCAGAAGACAGCACGGTGCAGGCAGCATGTTTGCAGAAGCATGCAAAGTTCAAGAACACTGACAAAGCAGCAACGCAAACAAATAATACTTACTTCACACAACAAAGTGGCTACGGTTGCCCTACACAACAGCTGCAGAACTGCAGCTATTGCTGTGCAAATGCACAAACACATGCCTCTCTCACTACAACCGTTTGAGCACACCAACATGCTAAGCACTCACTTCTCCATGATGATGCGGCCAGCAGCAGAGCAGTTGGATGCTCCATCAATCAGCACTTGCACCACGTGCTCAGGGCCAATCTGCTCGATGCTCTCAATCAGGACACCACCGATGTACAGCCCTGACTTGACCTCGCCCTCTGTGTTGACGGCAGTGATGAACTTGGCGCCAATAGGGTTGACAGCCAGCACGTTCAGCAGGGGGTGCTTGCCGACATCTGTCCAGCCATCGCTGCACAGGGACACCATGGTCTCGTTGCTGTGCATGTCGAACAGCAGCAGCTCAGACTCAGTGGACTTGAGGTTGTCCAGCAGTGTGCTGCGCATGGCGTTGTAAGCTGGTGGGGCATAGCCAGGGCCAGCTGCTGCAACTGCGCTGATCATCTCCCTGTACCATGAGCTGTGGGCCTTGTTGAAGGGGATGCCGTCACAGGCGAAGAACTTCATGATGGCCTTGTTAGCAGTGATGCTCTTGCCACGCTTGAAGGCGAGAACAATGGCGCGCTGCTCCATTGTGCCGCTGCTGCCCTGGCTGCTGGCAGCAGCAGCAGCGCCGCTGGCAGCAGCAGCAGCACCGGTGGCAGCACCAGTGGATGCAGCAGCTTCCTGCAGGACACAGCAACAAGGTATAAGATTTCGGTTTCCTTGCTGCTGCTGCTGCTGCTGCTGCTCTCTGTTTCAAGGCAGAGGCTGGCACTCACTGCTCTGTGTCCTGCTGCTCACTGCTGCTCAACAACAGCTCACCTTGTCCACTTTGCGCCGCTTGATGGCATCAACTCCTCCTCAAGCTTCCGCTTTGCGTTCTTAGAGGCATCACTGGAAGCCTTGGCGGTTGACAGGCAAGTCTTGATGTCCTCTGGGCACTCGCTGCAGGCCTTCACACCCTGGTTGGTGCCGAGCAAGTGCGAAACGATCCTGCTGACCCCACCGCTGAAGGAATGATTACAATGATGGCACACAACTTTGCTGTAGTTCTGTTTTGCTTCCAGCTTGTCGACATTGTCCCAGGCCATGCTAGCCTGATCAGTGACCTTTTTGCCCATAGCGGTGAGTGATCGGAGCAAGAAGACAATCTAAAAGCATTAATCGTATATAGTAAGTGTTTCGAGGAGCTCTAAGTGTTTGAACGGGCCGCCAGGCCGAGTAACAAGGGGTCTTGTACTTAAACGCCTGAGCCCCACTGCAGCTGCCTTTTACAAGTAGCGTTTCACACTGACAGCGATTAAAACGCACGTTTCAAACGTTTCGTTTGGTTTCATAAACTGCCTGACCCCGCGTTTAGTGCAACTATGGCATGCGTGCATGCACTCACCCATTTACCCCCACACACACTCACTAGTGTGGCCGCATCTCATTGGCAGAACTTATCATTGCATGGTTCAGGGCTGCTGCTGCAGTTAGGTTGCATGGGCAGCAGCAGCTGCAGGGCGTGGAGTGTATGTTACTGAATGACGGATCACGCTGGAAGCTTGCTGCTGATTTTGCCATGATGCGTGCCTGCACTATTCGTGCAAATTGATGTGTCTATGATGTCGTGAAGTATGACTTGCACTCGCGCAAGGCCGCACCTCAGTCTGCACGGAATGTTTGCCTGGAAAGAAGGCCGCACAGGTGTTCATGATGAACCAAACCGG